ACATCCACATCATAGCCAATTTCTGTCATTTTCTGCCTGATCTCAGTTGTCCTATAACAATCCAATAGAAGATGTTCTAGGGTCTCATCTTTATCACAACCTGTCATAGGACATTTCATGGTGGTAACAAAACAACTCCATTTTACCACCGCTCTCACGGGGAGGCGCCCGAGCGAGATGAGCCACACCACGTCTCTCATGCTTTCAGATAATAATTTGTCTTGTATATTTTTAACTATTGAAAGGTTTTCATCTTCATTTGCATACTTATATTGAATTACACCTTCATTTTTGGTTTCATTAATTTTTTTATAGATATTTTTCGTATTGTCTTGGAGAAAATTTAAACTATATTGTTCCCATTGACTTGATAAGTCACCGAACATAAGTCTGTGGTATGGAACACCCGCTCTGGCCCTGCCCCTTTTCTTTTGCCACAATTGCTCCTTCCCTCGAACCCACGGGGCACCCCGAGAAATTGCGCTTTGAGTAATTTTCATAAAAGGAATTCGCAAAACAATCTCTAAGTCTGGGGCTCCCAAGCCCCCGTGCTTCCTACTCTTGTACATAAATTTCCTCTTAGTCACTTCTCGATTGGATCCCCAGATAAATTTAATGCACATCTTACTTATTTTCATTACAGTTGTTCTCGGGGGAGGAAAAATTGCGGCAAGGAAAAGAAGTTTCGAAATTATGTGTGTTTTTACAATATTAATACGTGTTTTATAGTTTGTATCTTTATTTTCCCATTTCATAATTTCCATTTTAATTTCATTTTCTTTCTTATTCCAATTTAGTAAACTAGAGTCAGTATTATCAATCCATATACCCAGAATTTTAATCTCCCTACAAAGAGAGATCATCATTTTAGGTTGTCTGGTCGGATGTCCAAGCCACACCCCTTCAGTTTTGTCTTGGTTCAGTTTGGCACCTGATGCCTGTTCGTAGTGGTGTAATATCTCCATAACTGAAGACAATTCGTTTTGGTTTCTGATTATCACCGTCACGTCATCTGCATACGCCAAAGCTGCGATTTTAAGGGATTTATCTAGGACGTATCCCTTGATCCGTTTATCATCATTTATCCTTTTCAATAAGGGATTAATTGCAAGGACATATAACGCAGCACTCAAAGGACATCCTTGTTTAACCCCGCACTCAGCACTAAAAGGGGATGAGAGCTTTCCATTTACCTTAACTTGCACTAGGGACTTTTTATAAATCAATTGGATAATAGAAATAAATTGGTCCGGAAAATTATAAGCTTTCATTACTTTCCATAAATAAGAGTGGGAAACAGAATCAAAAGCCCTCCTTTGATCTAATCCTAAAATGCAGAGCTCTGAATCCTTTCCATTATAAATAATTTCTCTTAACATACTTAAGTTATCCCACATCAATCGTCCCTTAATTGCGCATGTTTGTTCTTTTTCAATGATAATATCTAATACATCCTCTAGTCTAGACATAATTATTTTAGCAAAAATCTTATAATCTACATTCATTATTGTCAGTTGCCTATAATTATTAATGTCTTCTCTATCGCCTTTCTTATATAATAAACACATAACTCCTTCATAAAACGATTTACCCATTGTTTCTCTTTCTATTCCTTCATTAAAATACTGAGTTAATAATTCAGACAGTTCTTTACTCACAATTTTGTAAAATTCAGAGGGGAGTCCATCCAGACCAGGTGTTTTATCGGTACTAAGTTGGTTAATTACTGACTCCACTTCCTCTCTTTTAATTTTTCCAATCAAAGTTTCATAAATGACAGAATCTAATGGTTCAACCTCACTCAAAAAATTGTTAATAGCGTCGCTGTTTGTAACTATGGATGAAAACATCTCCGAACAATAGTCTCTAATCACTTGTCTTTTCCCCTCTTCTTTAAAAACTGACTTTCCACTGACTTTCCAGCCACTTTACCACCATCACTGCTCACTACAAGGCCTGTTTCTGTTTTGCTCCAAGTTTAAAACTCAGGGGGAAGAAACAGATGTTCATGTTCAGGGGCTCTCCTGCATGCACGCACACACACACACACACACACACACACACACACACACACACACACACACACACACACACACACACACACACACACACACACACACACAGTGTCCATAGGTTTAGTTTAATTATTTATTCTGGCCGCATCCTGTTCACAGCACCAGCTGAAACCAAAGAAAGTACAGCAACAATCTGATGATCTGATTCTGGGGGGTCGTGCAGTTGTTTATGTGGCTGTTTTTGTCAAACAGGAAACATCCACAAAGAACATTAGTGAAACAGCGCAGGAGGAGAAAATGTGCAGCTTCACCCTCTAAATTATTCCTGCTTTAATTCTGGAATGATGATGTCATGAAATTGATTAAATCAAATTTCTGACCAGTAGTGTTTGTGCTGTGCTGAGTCGATTATTTACAGGCTGTGCACAGAGGAGTCTCCTTCTGCCTCATTTCAGTTTCCCGAAGTGAAAAGTCACACTCCACCAGTCCCCACCTTATCATAAATGTTTATCTACAAGTCACTGCACTACACGTCCCCTGAGCTCTGCCTGCGGTTATGACAGAGTTCACGAGCTGCACTCGTGGCTTCTGACTGTTCAAAAAAGGTGACTGACAGTCAGCTGTTTTTCTTTTTATATTATGGAAGCAAAGGGCACCGCGCGAATAGCAGACGCTGAAGATTCACCACTACCAGCATGACTTTATGATGACAGAGAAAATAAATAAATACATGAAACCAGTTCCTGTTGGAAAAAGAAAGAGAAAAACAGACCTTAATGGATCCTTTAAAGTCTGGATGTGAGGGAGTGTTGAAGGTGCTGGAAGTCACGATCTTTTGAACGGGACAAAGTGAAACTAAGCCGTCATCTCCAGAGGATGGACTCATCTGGGGCACCACGTCTGCAGCTTTCATGAAAAGCTGTTTTGGTAGTTATTATATACAGGACATTATCCCCAAGACATAAAAACCACATGTACAAACCTGACATCAAGTGTTTTCAAAAAAAATTGCTGACTTTGCCCAAAATAAGGTTTTAAAAAGCTTTGCTAGCTCTGGAAATAAAAAAATTAAAAAAACAAGAGTTACTGAGTGACAGTTTAAGTCTGGAGGGTTTACACTGTGTTGTGTTTCTGTAAACAGAGTTTTAATCATGAGAGGAAATAACCCAAGAGGATCTGAAATGAGCTGCAGCCATCCCTGCGACAGCCCAAAAACAGTACCAGTCACTGTTAGAGGAAATACTTTTCTTCTTGACTTTGCTGATTGAACTCGTTTTTTAGTTTGTCAAATAGAAATCTAAACATATTTGAATGCTGGACTTCTACATTAACTAAGAAAGTAATTTTTACAGGAAAGTATTTAGGACAAAACACAGAGAATTACAGAGTTACTCAGACTTAAATGAAGGAAGAGAAAATGCACAGATGTAAACAGGCTCAAGTTAATGACATAATTTCCCCATTTTTACTTCAATCAGAGAAAAAAGGCCCCAGAGGAAATAAGACCAAACAAACAAACCCTTCACTCTGTTACTTGTGATGCGTGAGGCTCTCATTTTATTTCTGTGATCAGCACAGATCAACAACAATAAATATCAAAAAATTATGTCACAACAAACAAAGGAGAAATATAAAAACATGGTACAGAGAAATGAACATGTTCAAATGCATACATACGAATACACAGAAAATATGTATCATCTCCTAATTTGAGCCACATAACATAAGAAAACATAACAAAAAACAGAGTGAGGCTCCATTTCCCTCCACAGGCTTTCATACCTCGATCTTCCTTCAAATTCCTGATACGACCTCGTGTCCTGCTCACTTTCATTTATTCAGGTTTTAGTTTTGAACATCCGTCCATCTTCTTCCACTTTTATTTTGCTCATTGCACTGTCCCCTTTTGATCTTCAAATATCCTTTGTATGACAGTGGATATTTACAATGGACTCGGCTCATCACTCAGAGTCAGATTGGATCCACAACATTTGTACTGACGGTGGTGTGATCAGTGGTGGGTAACAAAACAAAAAACAACAAGTGAAACATTAACATTGAGTACACTAGTCAAAGACATAAATTCTGAAAAGGCCTGAGAACGGATCGATAAAAATCAGAAACCTATGGACTGTTTTCAGAGCAGCTGCTGCTTTTAGATCTCAGAGGAAGTTCCTCTCTGACCTCTGCCACAGAGCGCTCTGCAGCCTCACCACACACCTCAAACGTACAAATGACAAACAAATTAGATTTTAAACCAACCGGAACTTCACGACTGAGCAGTGTACTGATGAGTTTCAACACCTTCAGGCAGCACAATAGGCGAGGATGCAGATCAGGAGAAAGGACGAGATCCTGAGGCATCAGAACAGGAAACGAGCCAAACTGTCAGGGCTGAAAGCACCAACTGACTCAGATTGTGTTAAAACATCTTCAGATTGAAAATCCTCTCTATTCACCAGATTAATGCTCATGTGAAGTCCTGAAAATGAAAAACGCTGAAAGATCAACTGTGTATTTTGCACAGAGGAACAAGAACAAGATGTCATGATGGAAGTCTAAAAACAGCCACGCTCGAGGTGGAGATCTGAACGTGAGATCAGCTGAATTTAAATCACTGATAAGGTTTCTGATATTTACAGATCCAACTCAGAACTTTCCACAACTCATATAATAACACAATAAAACCATTATGATAATGGTTTGTATGTTTTTTTAAATAAATATCATGGGTATACTATAATCACATATTAGATTACATTGAGTCATTATTTCTATCTAATGGGGGCGATGGACAGAAAGCAGGAAGGTGGCTGATTGGCTGCAGTTGCCACAAACAGAAATAAATCAAGTGTTTAAAAGTGCAAAATAAAAACTTAAAGTTAATAAAGTGCTTAACTCACTGAGAGAACTTGCTAACCGTGCTACTGTGGCCCCATCTTAATGCCCCGTCTAATCAGAGCTTACATAAACTGATCTACTCTACGTCTGTCTCCTCCACCTCTCTACCTGCTAAAAGCTCCACTACGCTCACCTGCTGTTCTCACGGTAAAATCAAGCTCTGCAGAAAAATGCACAGAATAAAGTTAAACTTAAAAGAAAAAAGGAGAAAAATAAACAGATTTAAAGTCTATAAAAAGCTTGTTGCAGCCACAGTATTGATGTAATGTTACTTTTAATGGTTGTTGGGAGAAAATGACTCCCGAATGTGACTCGAGATCAGAGGAGCGGTGCATCGAACCCTTGTTGCTGTGAGTTGAGTGCTGTCAACAGACGCTCTGTTTATGCTGTCTGCTCGCTAAATAACAATGCTTCACACATCGTCTCAAACATTTCAGATCAACTGTTTAACATTTCAGGTGGATGTTCATAAGAGTTGCTGTGTGTTGATGATTTCCATTTTTGGATGAAAAATACTGCAACACAAACGCCAACAATAAGACAACTTACAACTGCAACAATAATGATAATTAAATCATGCGTGTCTTTGTTTTCTACAGTCGGATCTCCTGAAGAGAAAAACAAAAACAAAACAGGTGAGAGGCCTGAGGCATGCTGACAGCATTTCTTTTACACTGAAATACGCCTGGCAGTTAGCAGAGGTCATAACGTCCAACAGTGACGTAACTGTCAGAAAAGTAATAAAAGTATCGGCAGGCGCTTGGATCATAAACACTGAGCACATCACTGTGCTCATGTTTCAGAAACCAACGCTTTTATTTTTTCTCTCAAACACTTGCATGTGTATTAGGTAAAGTACCTTTTAAAAAAAAACCCTCAACAGAAAGCAACAGAACGAAATATAAACTTAAATATAAATATATACTTCTAAATTCTTCAGTTTTCAGGCCCCTCTTCTGTGGAACCAGCTTCCAGTTTGGATTCAGGAGACAGACACTATCTCTACTTTTAAGATAAGGCTTAAAACTTTCCTTTTTGCTAAAGCATATAGTTAGGGCTGGACCAGGTGACCCTGAATCCTCCCTCAGTTATGCTGCAATAGATGTAGGCTGTTGGGGGATTCCCATGATGCATTGAGTTTTTCCTTTCCAGTCATCTTTCTCACTCACTATGTATTAATAGACCTCTCTGCACTGAATCATATCTGTTATTAACCTCTGTCTCTCTTCCACAGCATGTCTTTATCCTGTCTTCCTTCTCTCACCCCAACCGGTCGCAGCAGATGGCCCCGCCCCTCCCTGAGCCTGGTTTTGCCGGAGGTTTCTTCCTGTTAAAAGGGAGTTTTTCCTTCCCACTGTTGCCAAAGTGCTGCTCATAGGGGGTCATATGATTGTTGGGTTTTTCTCTGTATCTATGAAGCGCCTTGAGGCGACTTTTGTTGTGATTTGGCGCTATATAAATAAAATTGAATTGAATTGAATTGAAATACATTTTCCTCACAGAAAGAAAAAAAGCAGGGGTGCACCCAAAGAGCAGAGTGCAGGGTGACACTGCACCACATGAAATCTGAAACTTTAGTTCATTATTTTACACTTTTAGTTGTAAGTCTACTGATATATATTGCTGGATTAATATAGATAAAACCACCGAGCAGCATAACTGAATAAAATTTCCATTTTATACATTAAAAGGATGCACATATTAATGCTACAACAACTATGATCCAGTCATATCATGCATATTTTTCTGCATTATAATTTACTCTGCCATAGGCACTCTACAACATCAAACTCAGGTTAAACAGTTCTCATGTCCGACATCTGTGTCAGCCTCAGAGCCTCTGACTATCAGCTCTTTGCCTTTTTTCTCGGTTCACTGCGCCACCACCTTCAAAACTCTAAGACAGTCAAAGAAGTAAAATGCACTCGGCTGGTATAATCACACACAGGAAAATGAGCAATAACAGATGTCTGAATGAAAATAAAACGGGGCCAATAAACAACTACGTCAGATCAGATTTATCACCACTCACACGCCACTGCAGGAAGCATCAGCATATGTCACGTAACACAAGTAGAAAGATCATGTTAACTGCAGACTGCAGTGATCTTTCAAACCACGTCAAGTTCGTGGAAAGTAGACCAAAAAAGATAAATAAATCCTCTGCAGTGGCAAAAGTTGGGGCTTTTTGTGTCTCTTTTTCCTTTTCTTTTGTTTTTGAAATCAAATGGTGGAAAATAACAAGCATGGTCTTCTGTTTTTACCACGCATGGACAGACAATGCTTCCCTCAGAGAACATCTGTGGGGGTGCAAAAAGCCAGCGTCACAGTTCACAGACACAAAAAGCTCTTTTGTGCTTAGCCGTGCAGTGAGGGCTGCAATTTGGCTCTGCATGTCCCTACAAGTCAGAAGAAGAATAAGTAGTAAGGTGGACCTCTCAACTCACCAGAGTCTATGACTGTGAGGTTGATGGACTGCCTGGACTCACTCTGAACTCTCTGACCGCTGCTGAGATCACTGGTTATAATCCGACACTCATATGTTCCTGTATCGTTGACGTTGACGTTCTTGAGAATCACAGAAACGTCTCCGTTTTTCATAGACGGGTGTTTCAGCTCCACTCGGCCTTTAAAACGCTCGTGCTGGTAGCTTTCATATGAGCGTCGGTTTCGGTAGAAGAAGACGTATCCGTCTGACTTAATCTCAGGTATGCTCCACTCTAACAGGGTGATATTTACACCCCTGGGATCCTGACAGTGAAGAGTGACATCTTGTCCACACCTCACTGTTATCTCTGTGTGACCAAAGACAAAAAGAACAAACATTGATAAGATGTTGCGATCCATTTCTTTACGACATATTGTGTAGAAATGCTGGTGTAACTCCTCCTGTACAGGTCTTTTTTTTTCAGTAGACGAGCATATCAAGAGACATCTGACAGAAACTATTTGGATCGAGGAAGTCTTAAAAAAACATCAGTGGATTAATCAAAGTAATGGATTCCTGCAGCTCGACATATTTCCAAAACAAGGCCAGGGACCAAAGAGAAATCTGCTTTTTTTTTTTTTTTTTTCATCTTGATGATGCACTTTCACACACAGTGACAAATGTCCTTGATAGATGTAGGCCAGAGGCTGTTATGGGCCTACTTTTCTTTTGCTTGTTGGGGAAAGCGTCCTCCATAAATGTGCATGCGTCACCTGCTCGTGTGAATGCACAAGAAGAGAAAAGAATAAAAGCAAACTCATCCTCCTTAGACGTTATTAACCTACCCATGTGTTCATTTACAGAAAAGAGGCAGCAAAAGCTACTGACTTAGATTACAGCACTCGATGTTTGTTTGTGTCTGTCTGGGTTATTTAAGATCACCTCAAGGGATCAAAAACTTTCTTGAAATCTTGAAATGCCTTGAGTAACAAGCTCTTCTCTAGGAAAACCAGACTTTCATCATACAGTACCAAGTGTTATGGATCAGACTTTGTGGCTATTTTAAAAGAATATTTCCTTAAAATAACACATTAATTTCCTCATGCTGTTCTGAATCGCTAAACTCTGTTGACTGTTACCACGTGTGTAGGTAAGAACCCAAAATGACACAGATTTGTAAATAAGAATAAAATAAAATAGAATAGAATAGACCTTTATTCTCATTGTACATGCACATTGAAATTGTGGGTGTGCCATGCCAACTGGGCAAGTATAAAGTGTAAATAGTGAGAGTGCAGGATCAAATAACAAACATGAGGAGTGTGTACAAAGCAAGAGAAAGGTCACGGATTAGCGAACAGGTTGTGAAGTCTCTTTTATTTCACGTGGCACACTCAGTTCCTTTACAGGAAAATGAGGATTGGTAGAGCCTAAATTAAGAGTTTCCTTTTCCTTGCTTCCTTCCAACTTAATGGTTTCATTTCTACCACTGCAGAAAACAAAAGTACAACATTGTGGACCTGACAGATTACTTGCACATACGCTGATGTTACACTTGTATGAACAAACTATAAACCTATGTCTGGGAGCTATGACGCCAAATGCAATAACATGTGATAGAGTTGTAACACATGAGGTCATTTTCTGGGTTCATGAAGAAATGTCTGCAATTACACCAGTAAACTTTTGATATGTTATAAAAAAAATCATAGTGACATCATACCTATTACATTCACTAGTGCACGCAACATACTGGGGAAAACAAAGAGGAGGAAAAAATTCTGATAACTGCATATTTCTTGTGTAGCTGATCTATCAGTAATCATCTGACAACTTAAAACTACTGTGTCGTGTTTATGCACACTGACTGTGTGCAAGTACAACGCAAGAAGTATGTCCCGAGAAAGGTTTAATCCCTCAGAGGGAGACAAAAAACTCCCAAAAACAAACACGACAAGATCAGCAAGATGCGACTTGACTAATTATAGTATCTTATCATAAGCATCTACCGACAGACACGCTAGTTAAACAGAAGAATGAAGCCAGCCCTTGTGACTTAGAGAAGATGTGGCAAGTTTTTAAATGAGATTAACTCCACATACTCAACTCTGCTGCTCTGTGTAGTTCAGCAGTTTTGTTAATGTAATTTTTCCAGTCTTTTCTTTTCTTTCAGTTCCAGTAAGATAGCGGTGGGGGAACTCCAGACAAGATTAAAGACCTGGCAAATAACAATTTCTGTCTCCAGCTCCGGAGATTTCCTCCACCTGTATACTCCCACGAGAGCACTGGGATCAGTTGTTCTTGGTGGAATCATAGGTTACGGCTAAAGACCAGAGGTCCTCTGGAACAATCTTCTCCAAGCTATTCGCACGTCCCGTCCTGCTGCAAACACGCTGCTATTGATGTTTACAGCTGTTAAAAAAAACGTGCTCTAAAAAATTGTCACAGCATTTGTCAGACTGCCAACAGTTTTTTTTTTTAATTTTTAATTTTATTTTTAGCTACTCACCTTCTAATTCCACAGTCTCAAAAGTCAGAAGAAGAAGAAGAAGGATGTGAGACATTTCTGTTGAATAACTCACAACTGACCCTCCTGAAGCTGCTGGAAACTCGATTTGTGTAAATCTGGTGTCGTGCCAAAAGCAGTCTGAGACAAGGGGCAGTCTGCTGCGTTCAGGGACACACCCACCTGAACTACATCAGCCGTCACAGCGTGCTTTTAACCCTGAAGCTGCATTCAATGTTTCTCTCTCTTGTTTTTGTTGTTTTTGTAGGAGAAAGTGCAAAGTGAACACGGGAAAGTGCCTCGAGCCCACATTCATGACACCCTAAAATGATCCTTATTTAGGTTTTGTATTCTTTAATTGTTTTTTTTTTATTTATTATTCCACTGTAGATGCTGTAGAAATAATATCTGCTTTCCGTCTGTGTATTTTTGTAAATATCTTGTGTAATGACAATGAACCTTATTGAATCTTCAGTGTGAATCAGTAACCAGCATCAACATTTAGACAACAAAGTTAACTTAGCATGGTTCTAACAGAGCTCACTGGCTGCCCTCTGGTGTTCGCCAGCGGTCACTGCAGGTTTAATTCTTACTCGGACGGAAGTGACGGACAAGGTAAGCGACTCATGTTGACGCCGGAGATTTTGGCGGAAAATTAAAGCGAATGGTAGTTTAGAATTGAACAAATTCCTTTAAGCTTCAGTATTACCAAATACACTTATCAATTGTCTTTATTTATTTTAATTGTGTGTCTTTAATTATTACCTAAACATTTCTATGTGCTACAAAATAGACATAATTGTAAATGTGCTGAGGTGAAACTATACTTTCAATAATATTACCACTACAGACGGTGGTTAACAGGCTGATTAAATTAATCTATGCTGATCAGCTAGCTAAAAGTCTTTACTTTAGCAGCCCAAATCAGAGGCTAACATTAGCATTTGTTAGCGTCAGCTAGGAAACTAGGGTTAGTGTAACTTTGCCTGAAACTCTTTAAAGAGTAAAGTAGAGCTAAGTGTGGCTCAATTTTGAATACAGTTTGGTGCCATTTACAATTAAGAAATACAGATAGTTTCTCTCTTTACTCTTAAAGTTAACAAATATGTTTTTTATATTTATCAACCTAAAAAAAATAAACATTTAGTCTGACTTGATGTTACAATTAAAAAAGTGTTTGTGTTTTTATCTGAAGAGTATGTAAATATCTGGTTTCAACTGTATATTTGATGATGTTGGTGTTTGGCTTGATTGTCAGCACAGAGAGGGAGAGAGAGCAGGTGAGACACACATGTTAGTCAAATGGTTGTTTACCAAAAGTAATCATATCATAGGTCCTCATGTATCTCGTACCTGGTGTTTCTTTTTAGGTTTGTTATTTTTCAAATTCTATATTTATTAAGTTCTGCAGGCTTGTTGCACAACAAGGCTAAATAATTATATAAACTTTTCTCAATCTAAATATTGTACTTTGGTAGAATTAAAAAAATAAGTGTAGTGCAGGTCTATGATGATTTTTAGTGCTGCTATCATCTAGTTCTGATTCTGGTTCTGTTTTGATTAAATTCTAAGTAGTCCTGATTTTGAACTGTTGTAGTCCTGTTTTAATTCTGGATCAGTTCTGGGTCTGGTTGAATTGGGGTTTAGTCCTCGTGTCTTGATACAGCCCTGATTTTGTTCTGCCTTGCTGCTTAATTAAAAAACTAGTTTAAGGTGTCCTGCACATGTGATATATATTTTTCCCTATATGAAGTCATTCTTTTTTGAACAAAACTCAAAACAGAGCCAATTATCTTTCCGTCATTTCTAACCCCCCCCCCCCCCCCCCCCCCCCCCCCCAAATCCTTCTGGCTTGTACAGGGAGGAGAGGGGAGAGACGGACAGCAGGCGGCACCAAATAACCAGCTCTGCTTGCTGCTGCTGCTGTGCAGAAGTCTCACACACAATCTGTCGAAAGGGGAGGGGAGCTGGCTGCTTCCACAGGGCACATTTCATTCATAATATTGTCGATCCGAGCCAATTATGTATTAATTATTTTTCTAAAAACATAAACACTGATCAGAAAACGACTGTCAGCACTTTTCACTTCATTTGTGGGACTTGTGGGCCTCAGGCTTTAAATGCAGTAATATGTAGGCCTGCTGCTGCTGCCTCTCTCTTACTAGGTCAGTTAATATCAGCATATATATATATATATATATATATATATATATATATATATATATATATTAGCAGTGAAGTTGACTAAAGTGCTTTCCAATAATAAACAGAGATAACAGTTAAAAGCCATACAATAAGCAGAGAAATAAATAAATATAAAATAAATACACAAATGAAAAAGAAGATAAAAATTTAATATTAAAACATAAATAAAATAGACAAAATCTACAATGAATAAAATTAACAAAATAAAAAGATTAAGAGTGACCAACAGCTGACTAAAACTGACTACAAACTGACTCTGGTACTACTCCTAAAAAGCCTTTGAAAAAAAGTGTGTTTTTAAAAGTGATTTAAACATTTCAAGTGTTGGGGCCAGTGTAATATGGAGGGGCAGTTTATTCCATAATTTGGGGGCCACAACAGCAAAAGCTTGGTCCCCCAGTTGTTTCAGTCTAAACAAGGGGACAGCAAGGGGTGACTGGTCAGTTGATCTATAGCGACCTTTGTGGAGTGTACAGGTGTAGAAGGTCTGACAGGTAAATAGGAGCCAGGCCATTTAAAACGTTAAAAGCAAAAAAATTTTTAAATGAATTCTAAAACGGTGTAAAGAGGCAAGAACAGGGGTAATGTGCTCACGTTTGCGTAACCCTGTGAATAGGCGAGCAGCAGCATTCTGGACCATTTGCAAGTGTGATAGTGAAGCCTGATCAATACCAATATAAAGTCCATTACAATAATCAAGGCGAGTGGTCACAAATGCGTGTAAGACTCTCTCCAAGTCACAAAAAGAAATAAAAGGTTTTACTTAGAGCTGCCTCAGCTGAAAAAACGATTTCTCACCACTGATCTGTTCGTCCATTTTAAGAGCAACACAGAGATTCATATGTTACTATGTATTAATATATCACTGATGGGACATGAGGCCTGCTGAAGGCAGTCAAACTGAGGCCAGACTAAAGGTGATGAAAACCATCACTTGTTGAGCAAACTGAAGCTCTTCTGGCTCTTATTCATCTGTGACTTTTTACACAGTGCATACACTCACTGGCCACAATTTTAGACACACCTGCTAGGTCTGCTATGTGAATCTCACAGAGAACATTGTGCAGTGCATGAACTGTTATTTGTTCTTCATTGTTAAAATGAATGTTAGAAATAAACAGCAGCTTTTTTGTGACACTCTGCTCTAAATACGGAGTATGAACTGTACAAGATGATGGGATTCCTCCATCCTTTACACCAGTTTACTGTCCTGTCAGATTCTTCGTTCGGCCGAGAGCTGCACACTCGTTTTATTGTCTGCGCCTGACCTCAGTTATTGGAGCGCTTCAGTGCCACTCGACAGCAGAGTAAGACCATTTTTAGAAAGTGGTTGGTTAATTTTTGTTGTCTGTAGATGTTACAGTAATGTAGCTATTTAAACTATTTGTTTTGAATTTAGCAGTTACTGATTCTTTTTAATTAAAGCAACTGGAAATACTTGTTTTTGTGTAGTTTAGAGACACACGTGGGTTCATCTACATTTGGGTTAAAATAAAGATTATTCATAGTCATTTCTACAATAATAAACACATTGAACCTACAAAAGCAGAAAATATTAATCAATTGCCCAAAGTTTGAGCATTTTCCACGAAAAATCCACAATTTAAAAAACACTGAAACTCAAACCTTGACAGGACCATCATACAAACACAGAGGAGAGTGTAAATCATGACAGAAACCATGAACAGGAGCAGGTTTCACACACACCAGATTCAAACAGGATAAAAGTCAAACACAACACTGGTGCAGTTATTTTTAGCAATATGCTTGCAGTATATTTTATGAAGTTTAGCTGCTACTTCTGATACTACATCTTTGGAATTCTGCTTCATGGCTCATTACTTAACGTAAAACTAAAGTCACAGAGGAGTTGATCGAAAATTCTCATAAATAGAAAATCTGTTCAAACATGTAATACTGATTTTTTTTTTTTATTGTATTCAAGTGATTATAGAAAGACTAATAAAACAAGTATTATTGATGTACACAATTCATTGTATGCCTAATTGAATTTTATATTATCATTATTATTTTATTGTTTCCTTTACAAAACATGTTACACGAAAATTACACGTAATCACAGGACACTTGCGGTCTAACAATGACATTGTTTCATTGTTTCAACATTCTTCCTGATGTACTCGTTGATGTTCTTGTCCCATCCTGGACTGTGGTACTGACACTCACTAGTCCCAGGCCTCTTTTCTTCTGCTTAGCATGCAGCCTCAGGGTGCTGGACTTGGGGTGAAACCCTCCATGCATGGTCAGTAGTGATGGGAATTCCAGCTCTTTTAAGAGAACCGGCTCCCAAGTGGCCCTTCAGGTTGTTTTGTTGCTTTAATTAATTTATTATCAACAACAATATAAAATTATGCACAAAATGAACTACTTAATGAATCTGTGTTGTGTGTTGTGGCCTCTCTTTCTGTCCCACATCTCAGGTCTCTATGTTCTGTCTCCGCAGTCTGATAAGTTTACATGTCTGGAGTTCAGTCCATGTGTTTCCTGTTTTACTTTGAAGGTCTGTGTTTCATGTCACTGCATTCAGTTTTGCTTTCCCCTATCTTGTTATGCCCAATTAATCCCAGCTATGTCTCCCTCCTGTTCCCTGATCACTCCCTCTGTGTATATAAACTCTGTGTTTTCTTCTGTTGTCTGTCGTGTTGTCTGCTCATAATGTGTGTTTTCCTCTGTGCTCAGTGGTCCTAGGTTTCTAGTTTTTTGTTTGTTTGTTTTGCAAGTGTAATGTTTATTGAGTTTTTTCATTGCAACTGCAATAAAGCAGCCTCTTTGAGTTTACTTCCTCGTCTGAGCGTCCTGCATTTTGGGTCCTACTTCCTGCCTGCCACAGTGGAACATGCCACAATGCAGAGCTGGAATGGGACAAAAACAAATCGACCTGGCCATTTTGACTAGAGACCGGCCCACCAGGTATTATAGGAAAAGCTATAAAGTCTTTG